GGCGGACGCGCCTCCACCGGCGGGGAGGACGTTCCCGACGGTGATGTCGCCGACGAGGGCGGGGTTGACGCCGCCCTTGGTGTACGCGGCGCGGAGCACGGCAGAGAGGAGCTCCTCAGGGCGTGTGTCCTTGAAGCCGCCCTTCTTTGCCTGCACGGAGCGCGTTAGTAAGGCTGTGGTGCCCCTGGGTGCTAGCGCGCGCGGTTGGCCATGATTCGAGGAGTGGTTCCACCGTGTCGAAGACAGAGTATCGCGTGATGTTTTGCACGCGATACGTGTCGCACGATGGCCGCGTCTTCGAGCCATGGCCGTCTTGAAGCAGGGGAGCTCACCTTGGTAATGGCGGAGCGGACGGCAGACACGATGACTACGTCGTCGTCGTTCTGGGCCAGAGCCTTCGCCTTGGGCGAAAGCCCGGCAAAGTTTTGAATGCGTTGGGTGAGAGAGGACATGTCTACCACGATACAAGAGAGAGGAGGGTTGTGGTAAGAGACAAGTGCAGCGGGCGCGCAAAGTGCTGGATTTAAGGAGAGGGCGTCGTCCGAGGCGTCGTGATCAGCAGACTCGCAGCTTCGGGCGTCGAGCAGCCGCTGGAGCCCCGCATGTGATTAATCCTCCCCCACACTGGATGTGTCTGGGGTTAGGGCTCCCCACTCCCTTCCCTCCGGTCTCTTCGGGATCAGAGAATTACCTATGTCGGCGCGCTCAACGCTCCCGGAGAGACCGTTCGTGGTAGCCGTGAATCAGCAATGTAAAGGGGTTGAATCATGTGTGTAGCAGGTCGTGTTCAATCACACAGGACGCTGGAGGTGGTGGTATGTGTGGGTTCCGTCTGGGTATGGGCCTATAATAAATGGTACCGGCCGCGCCGTAGCAAAGCAGAAACGCAACGAGCCCAAGGCCCCCATATGAACCGAAACGAATATCCAAGAAAACATGACAACTTGTACTACCTAACTCTCTCATACCAATCATTTTAGACCTGAGTCGCTCTGTGTCCCTTCTTCTCTGAGCACGATCAGCAGGTGCGTCTCCTGTCTCGTTCTCCGTCCGTCCGAGTCAAGGGGAGGAGCGGGGACACAGCCGCAGATGCTGACCGCTCAAGCCTGCACCTCCTTCTTCGCCTTCTCCCCCTCCGCCGTCGGCGCACTCTGCACAGGATCCGAGTCGCCCTTCAGCCCAAACCACACCGGGATGAGCGCCCACGCCTCCCTCCTCGCCCGCGCGACGCTCAGCGCAAAGTCCTCCTTGCACGCCGCGCAGATCCGCAGCCCACACTGGCGCGTCCCGTCCGAAAAGTCCGTGCGCGAGAGCATCTCGACCGCCTGCGCGAGCGAGAACAGCGGGTCCGCGTCCCGCCCGCTCGCGATCCCGCCCACGCTCCGCAGCAGGTTCAGCATCACAAAGTAGTACGACTCGCGGCAGTGGTGGCCCCCCGCCTGCGCGCGGTTCGCGCACCCCGGCGCGATCCCGCGCCCCGCCAGCTCCGCGTCGATGAAGCGCGCCAGGAAGCGCTGCGCCGCCTCGCGCCCGACGAACGTCGCGCGCAGGTCGCCCCGCGTGAGCCGCAGCGCGTCGCCTGCCCCTGTGGGCCCCCCGGCGCGCGCCTTGCACCGCGCGATGGTCGCGGGGAGGAGGTGCGGCATGTTCGTCGCGCCCGCGGCGATCTTCCGCGGGCCGTAGCGGGCGAGGTCGTAGAAGGCGGCGGCGAGGATGTGCTCGAGGTTGAGCTCCGCAGCGAGCTGGATGACGAGCACGGGGTGTGCAAAGTGCTCGCGCGGGTTGTATCGTCCCTCGACGGTCGCCTGCTGCTCGCGCTTGTCCCAGGCGGCGAGGGTGGTCGGCCAGTCGGTTTCGAGGCGCGAGAGGCAGCGCTGGCGGAGGTGTTCGATGAGGTACTTGTTGGAGAGCCGGAGCACGGCGGAGATGGAGCAGAAGTCGCCCGCGGTGGGTTTCACGAAGTATCTGGGGGCACGTCAGCATGCGCCCACGAGGACAAACATCTGTGGACTCACAGGCCATCATAGAGCGCCCTTAAGAGATGGAGGACGTCGGAAGGATCGTCGTGGAGCTCGACCCACGGGCAGCCGTCGATCAGACCCTGCCCCTCCTCGCTTGCCGGCTGCGGCAGAGAAAACATATCATGGAAGATGTCCGAGTGGCGCACGAGCTGTCCGCGGTGGACCTTGAACGCCACGTTCCCGGCGAGGAGCACAACGTTCCCGTCCGAGAACCAAAAGTCCGTCGTCGTGTACTTGCCGAGGTCGGGCGAGATGTCGAAGGAGGCGGAAGACATAACAGGGAGGCGTCGAGAGCTGAGCGAGAAAGTGAGCGAGGGAAAGCAGCAGAGAGAGCGTAAGAGGACAAGAGACCACAAACACGGGAAAGAAACACTTTATTGCTGGCGATTGGGGTACGGACTACTGTCCGCCGCCTACCGCGAGCACGTCGCGACCGACCTCGAACGGCGGCGGACACCAGCGCTAGCACACTGAGGTTGCGAAACGGACTGGGAACGTCATAAGGGCGTGGCATAATAATACACCTCGCCCAGTGCGGGGCGAGGGCGCATGAACGTGGCGTAACGGGCTACATCGTAGGGACAGAACGATCAACGGTCGAGAGTCACTGTGAGTTTGAGTGCGAGTGGTGGCTCGCGACCTGCGCGACGGGGAGACCGGGAGGAGGGGAATTCGGCGACGTTCGGTTCACCTGGTGGTGTCCGGGAGTAAGTGCCGCGGGAGGCGGGGTGGGGATCAACCCCGGTGGGGGACCAGCCATCATGTAGACCGGGACGGCCTGTGCGGGAGCTTCGCGCTGCCGCGACGAGGACGAGGAGGTGTCCGTCAGCGGGTGCTGGTTGTGAGCGGGACTGGTCATCGGCGACTGGTAGACGTATAAAGGCTGCGGAGGCGCAAAGTAGTAGCTGTACGAGACCCCCTGCTGGCCCTGCCCATGCGACGACATGCCAGGAGAAGGGATGAGCCCGGGCGATGTCACGAAGCTCGCGGGGGTGCGCCCGTCGTGGCCGACCGCGATCCGCACAGATTGCCCATCCTCGCTGCGGAGCCGGCGCGACGACGGCCGTGCAGAGCCCAGCAAATCGATGTCTTGGTGAGGCCCGACACCGGTGTACCACGAGCCTCCCTGCTTCGCCTTCCCGACGCGCGCACGGGCCTGCTGTGCGGGTAGGTAATCAAGCGCCACGCGTGAAGAGGTCCAGGGGAGCGCCTTGAGCTCGTGGACGAAGCCCTTGACACGCGTGACGTGCGCGCCGAACGAGTCGTCCGGCGCTGTAAACCGTACGGGCGAGTCCATCTTCGCGTAGTCGCTCGCCGGGTGCGGGTGGACGAGCACGGGGCTGGGGCCGGGGCGGAGACGAGGGCTGCCCACCAAGATAGCTGAGTGCGGGTTGGACTGGGCGCTGTGGCGCTGCGAGCGTACGCCGCTCGCGGGGCGCGATGCGTCCATGTAAGACACTTGCGATGCAGACCTGGGGCTTGTGGGGACTTCGACCGCCTCGACATAGTGCATGCTCTCTGGGTGAGCCACAGTGACGCCTGGGTCGTCGTACGCAGGGAGGTAATGGGAGGGCCCAGTCATCTGCTCCGTTCCCGGTGCGCCCTTCCTCGTCGCCTTGCGGTCGTACAGATGGCTCCTGATCACTGCATGCGGGAGCTTTCGAAGCTGTGCGACGAAGCCGCCCACGAACGTCCTCTTCTTCGGCTTAGTCTCAGGCTCGGGCGCTGGGTCAAGAGAAATAGGGTCGTAGAACGAATCTTGATGAGGTTGGGCCTGGATCCCAGAGTCCCGCTGGTCATCGTACTGGGGTGCCCCTTGGCCGTGCCCTTGAGACTCATACTCGGGTGTATCCTGGTGTTGTGCGGCGGGGTAGGGGTTGTAGCTGTAGTCTTCCTCGCTCTGCCCCAGATCCCACTCCTCCGGCTCCGGGTCTACAGGCCCGCTCCTGTGGGAATGTGGTGCCTCCCCGAGTTCTGAAGGAGAGGGATAGTGCGGACGGAAGTCCGACATGCCACGAGAAGGGGTGGGAGACGGCACTGGGAGCGGCCGCGAGCCAGCGGTGGACGGCGGGCCCGCGAACGGGGGTGGGGACAACATACCATTGGACACCCAGCTCGTCGTCTGGTTCGACGGGCGGCTGTAGCGGGGGGCCCTGCGCGAGGACGGCGGGTATCCGCTCGGGGGACGACCCTGAGAGGAATCTGGATAGAAGCTGTTGTGCGGGGTGTCCTTGTACGCTACGGAGTCGTAGTCAGACATGGTGGAGAGAAGGCAAATCGCTCGGCGCAGCGCGAATGTCTGGCTCCAAGGGATATGGCCGCTTTGGATGGGAATAGCCCGCTCCACGAGGGACCAACGAGGCCACGGGTATATTCGCGAACGGGCCTGTGCACACCGCAATCCATGTCAGCAAACAGCCATCCGGCTCGCATTTGGGTGTCGGTGGACGCAGGGGTACAGCACTCACTGCGCTACGTTGGCCCACAAGCAAGCCGCATGCCACACCTGAATACGAGAGGCAAACTCATACAGGACACGAGGCAGTTGTTAATCACGGGCTATCGGTTCGGTGAAGGGAAACATGGATGCAACACGAGGTACGCCAATTGTATGCGTGTGGCATGTTTGTTTTCGTATGACGCGTTGTGCTTACACGGCTTTATTGACTGAAGTCTGGTGACCCAGTGTATCGCGGCCTGTGACGTTTATGTGTATGTTTTGCGGGCCATAAGCTATAGTCTGCGTGTGTATGGTAGCGTCGGTGGACTGAATAAAAGAGTGGCTGACGATCACTACTAATATTGTGAGCCAAGACAGAAGCGCCGGACGGCTGATCTGAGACTATTCTGGGATAGGAGCGCCTAATTGTGGTACTCTCCGCCATCGTAGGCCTCGGCCATCGCGAACTCCTTGCGTATTCAGTGAGACTGAGACACATTTCATAATGTGGAATTTCCCTTTCACACAGGCAGCAAAATGGGCCCAACCGGGAATTGAACCCGGGACCTCGCGCAATCGCGGCCCGAAGCGCGAATCATACGACTAGACCATTGGGCCGCATGACATTGGGAGCCAGGTGCTAATATTTTTGTTCATTCTAGTACTTGAATACTGGCACTACAGGGGGAGAAGCGGAGCACAATGCCAATTGAGAAAGTACATCGTGACGGACAGGGATGCGGCAGTGGATTGGAAGGTAAAAAGTTTTGGAATTAGAAAGTCGTCTATGAACTCTGAGTATATGCATGCAAGGAACCGACCCTGTAGGCGAGATGGCCGAGCGGTCTAAGGCGCCAGACTAAGGATCTGGTCCGAAAGGGCGTGGGTTCGAATCCCACTCTCGTCACGCAGGATAATTTTGCGCTCTTCCACTCAGGATGTCGTTCAGATTTGTCACGAGCGACCAGTATACACATGGAGGTCGCCTGGACTCGCCCTTGTGTGTACTATACACCTCCAGCCACTGTCTGAGCTTACACCGCGAGACTACAACATCCATCTTGGCACCCACATCTTCTATCAACGCAGCCCAGCGCGGACTGATCACCGACCAGGATACCCTACAGAGTCGAAACAACGATGGAGTTCGTGTTCGGCGTGAGGCAAAAGCCCATTGCGAGGAACGTGCCGCAAGACGAGAGCGCGCTGCACGTCCCGTCGCACCCGATCTCGGTGCACCACCCGACGTCCTTGTCCGCAGCGAGGCACTCCGTGTTCGGCGCCTCGACGCACGCCGCCCCGCCGCTGTACACCGTGCACTCCCCCGCGCAAAAGTCCCCGGACCGCTCCGTGCAGTACATGACGATCGTCTTCTGCGCCGCACGCCGCGCGAGCGGGTGCAGGTCGGGGCGCCCGCCGATGAAGGTGAGCTTCGCATCCGTGGTCGCGAGCCAATGCGCCAGTTGACTGTCGCTCATCGGGAGAAAGCGTGCAGACTGCGACGTGGTGAACATCCGCATCTTCTTCGCAAGACACGACCTCGATCGTGCTCACCCCGTTTCCAGGATCAGGATGCGGCTGTCGTGGGATGTCAGCTCAACGTCTACCCACCCCCAATTTCACAAACTCGTACCGAGGAAGGGCGGCCGAGTACTGCATCAGCGAGAGCCGCGATGACCAGGAAGAAGAATGCAAAGTATCGCATGCTGGGAGCCCGGCGTTGAGAGATTATCGTGCATTTTGCCCCTTATAAATCCCTCTACGACTATTCTGAGGATCAAACCCCTGGATGGATGCCCTGACCACTCGGCACACTGTATACACCCCATGCCGTTCAAGTAGTCCTGGCGGCGCGAGGCAACCACACGTGTGCCAACTGATAGGCACAACCCACGCAGCTTGCAACCGCCGGCTGCCAGACAGCCTGCAGAACTAGCAGGGCGAGGTCCCGGATGCGGACTTCCCAAGGGGCAAGAACTAGAATCTACAAAAAGCGGTCATTCAGAGAGACGCAGAGAGTGCCACGGCCATACCGGCGGTAAACCTTCTTCGCTTATGCCTTGCATAGGAATGCACCGGCGTGACAGCGCGCCCCCCTCAAAGGCTAGGCCATCCGAGGCACGACCAACATGAAGAAGCCAGAGAAGCGTCGCGAGGTTCCTGCGGAGCGACATACCCGTAACGTTCGCCGACTCCTAATCCCGACTCGGGGCTTACCAGACGACCGATAGAAGCGCGCCGGAGACTGCCTACAGCCACCGCGGTCGATGCTCGGCGTTTGCAGGCGCGGGAACCGATCTCATACCACTGAGGATAGACAAAGGCTATTTGTGGGCTACGCTCCAGCTTGGGCTATCGCGAGGTGTGTACTATTAGTACACAGGCTGATAACATAGACAGTCGCTCATTGGACGCTGGTGCAGGATATACCCAACCGGGTCGTCTGTTGTGTACGACCTCAGATCGCTGGCCGGTGTGCATCGACGACGCTCATGCCGACAGTCGATGCATCCCGCTTCGCCTGTTCGTATCCCCGGCAAGAATCACGAGTCATGCGTCCCGACCTGGCCCTGAAAGATATAGACAGAACGCACCCGTGGTCACGTCTCCAAGGCCCAGGGGAGACACATTATACGGCCTGTGTCGTGTCGACGCCTGAATCCTGAGAGGCCGACCTCAACGCGACCACGAGACACGGCATTCTCATGACCGCGACACGACCAGGCGTTGAATCGCGTTCGCTAGACCCCAAAGTTGTGTCAGAAGAGACGTATAAAAAGGGTGGCGCGACATACCACGGAACGGCAGTGGACATCGCTCATACGACTTCACAACCAATCTCCTAGCTTCAATCGACATGCAGTTCTCCGCCATCTTCGTCGCCATCGCCGCTCTGGCCTCCGTCGCCATTGCTAGCCCCGCCGTGGTGAGTCATGCCGGCTCCAGCTGTCGGAGTAGTGCGCTCATCTTCCTCCCTGCCAAGCCCGTCGTCGACCGCGAGGTTCGCGTCCCCGCCCGCATGTGTAGCGACCACACCTCTGACACGGCCGTCCACAGGTCTCCGCCTCCATCATCAGCGAGGCCGAGCTCGCGCACTGGCTCGCCACGACCGACGCCGAGCTCACCTTCATCGGCGAGCCCTTCAACCCGCTCGCGAAGCGCTCCGCACAGACCACGACGGTGACGTACTGCACCAAGAGCGTCGGCCCGATCTGCGGCGGCACCTGCACGGTGTACAACGGCGGCGCGGCGTGCATCGACGCCGCGGGCACGACGTGCATCGCCGCGACGCGCGACATCGGCTTCTGCGACCTCGCCGGGTGCGCCGGGAACTGCAACGCGCTGTCCCAGTGCGGGACGTCCATGTCGAACGGGTTCTGCTTCACGCCCGACACCCAGTCCATCCTGGTCTCCTCCCTCTGAGCTGCTTTCCGCCCGGTCCGGGGTGAGTGTCGGCTCGTGCGAAGCCTTGGGCCGCGCAGCGCTCACCGTCCCGGTCCTCCCTAGTCGATCTTGCACCGCGAGTCGCCCAACAGGTTCTTTTTTGGTTTGCAGGAATTATGCGCCCCTCTGTGGAAAAGAAAATGGAAAACGTGTAGTCATACCTAGGTGTTTTGGGCTCAGCTGTTCTTGTACTTGTTTGGGGCTCCTACGTGGTTATACGGTCAGCGCACGGAAAGACAGTCAATATACCAGTTTGTTGAGAACCGTCGTGGTCATCCGCGCCGAGTGCCGCAAAGGATCGTGAAGCAGTATGATACGTGGGGTTGTGCACGGAAAACTACGGATAGCAAACGAATGGCTGTTTTCCTCCGCATGGAATAACCTCTGCGAATGTAGGCCCTGTCCGAAAAGGCAAATGCGGGGTTGACGACGTTTGAATGCTTCATGCCACGGCAGAAGGGCATCGCACCTTCCGTGAGCCGAACGCTGGGAAAACGAAGCGACACCCTTCAGCGCGCCCGGACGTAGTGCCCGGCATAGAAGGACGGAAGCAACGAACGCGTCGTGTTGTGGAGGTCCCGACGGAAGTTAACACCCACCGGGCGAAGTTTGAGACTGACAAAAAGCATCCGGCTGCTTAATTGACTGAGCAGGACACGTATCCTATCACCGGGATAGGCCTTCGAGGTGTTTCAGGGATTCAGAGGACGTGGAAGCGACGAGGACAGGAACAGGGGCTCTTAACTGGCCTCTGAGGAGTCCAAAGTGATCAGCCCGTCCGAAAAATCGAAAATGCTGCAAGACGAACTTCCTCAATTATGACCTACTTGCAGCGAGGCAAACGTAAGAGATCGAATGAAGCTGGAGTAATCAACGGAAAACATACTCATAATCGATCGCACACGGCAAGATACGGGCCATTGAACCCGGCTACCGTGCATCCTGCGTACCTGTGTGCAGGCCGCATTGAATGAGCATATAATTCTTGTAAAAGGGACGGGAGCTTTGACATCGATATCCAGAAAGGCCGCCCTGGCACGCATGCACCTGCAGCAGACCCAGGCCATCCTTGTCAGCTTTGTGCAAGGTACACGACCCTCGAATGTCGCAGTACGCTCCATTAAGTGCCGCAGAAGTGCACGGGATACGTGAACGAAGTCCGGTATGGTTCGAGTTCAGGGCACCCCGACGAGATGCACCCAACTCATGCCGGTTTGCTGTCATATTTATCGCTGAGGATGCGTATATAAGGTGAACAAGTAAACACTGGGGCTGCAGTAAACACACCCTCACTGTATTCATCGTGCTCAACACCCATTGATCTCAACATGCAGTTCTCTACGCTCTTCACCGCCATCGTCGCTTTCGCCACTGTTGCGATCGCCAGCCCTACCGCAGTGAGTGAGGCCTCGTCAGCATCTAGTCCGATTTGCTGAAACATGCCTATGCAGCCCGTCAACGACCACGTCGTGAGCACCCTGCTCCCGCCCTGCGTGCCGGGCGCATGCTGACCGTCTCTCGCAGACGACCTCCGTCGTGTCCGAGGCCGAGCTCGCACACTGGCTCGCCACGACCGACGCCGAGCTCACCTTCATCGGCGAGCCCTTCAACCCGCTCGCCAAGCGCACTGCCCAAGCCACCTCCGTCACCTTCTGCACGAAGCGCATCGCCGGCATCTGTGGCGGCACCTGCACCGTCTACACGGGCGGCGCGACGTGCCTCGACGCGACGGGCACGACCTGCCTCTCGGCCACGAACGACGTCGGGTTCTGCGACGAGGCGGGGTGCAACGGGAACTGCAACGCGCTGTCGCAGTGCGGCACCCAGATGGACAACGGGTTCTGCTACACGCCCAACACGGCGTCCATCCTCGTGTCCTCGCTCTAGTAGGCCCGCAGAGCTAGTGCATGCAACCCTGAACTGATAGTACAGAGGGCTCTAGGGGTGTTTGGGGGCACATTCGCGTCTCGATATGTTTCCTGGTATTGTGGAGTCACTCGAGGGTATTTTGGGACGTGTAAAGACAAGGCCATATCACATGTTGTTCCTGCCAATTTAAATCCGAATTGGGGCTGCGAGAATAATTCAGAGTGAGCGATGTTGGGCATCTCATTGTATAGATACAACGCTACCTCCAATGAGGTTTCGAAGGACACGATGAACTGCATTTTTTC